CTGCAGAGCCCAAGGGATGCAACTCTACACAGCGAATAGTGGCATCTTAGATGATTGGGCCACCTGCTCCCCCATTTTCATGTATTGGCCCAGACACCAGGCATTATCCACCTGTAGATCGACAATGTCTCTACGGCATGAATCAGGCTGATCCCCATTGCCTTACTACTTCCTCTACACCTATCCATCGGCAGGCTTTTCACACGTCTTATTCTACATGTCACATTGAATGTTCCTGCGGCTTGAAACAGCCTGAAAACTTGTCGTCCCTGGACAACTTGGAAGAAGGAAATTTTACCAACGTCATCAAGCATCTGCTCATTTGTATATCAGCGATGTTCCCACGGCATGAAACAGCCTGATCAACACTGACTTGGCTGGGATTAACGTGGGGTTGATGTGACCTCCAATGATTATGAGATCAATCACTGTCTAGGACTATGTCCCTTGCCCTGGAGGTTCAGCTTCTAGCACAACACTGTCAGATTATGGCTAGTTTCATCCCAGTTAGTCAGTCCCAGGCATGCCATTTGTAGTTTTAAATGCTTTTAGCAATATCCCCGTAATATCACGGCATGAGACACCAGAATACGTTACACACATTGTGCCAAGCTCTGGCTTAGTATTGTCGCTGCAGGGAATCTGCAGAAAGAACTTCATGGATCTTGTATCTGATCAGTAATGTCTGAGCTGTTAAGAATCAATCTAAGATCTACACTTCTGTGGGTATTTCACATGGATTCAATCATCACATCCCTATCTTGGGTGCTGTTTTTTAAGGATTTGGTTAAGTTCAGTGAAGCTTGGGGAACAGGAATTTGGTCCTGACTATATCTGTAACTATGCTGTGGACAAAAATCCGACCTGTCTTGGTCCAGAACTACACTGTAAATCTTAACACACTTCCTTGTTGCCAGGCATTAGAGTGAACAAAGTCTCACCAGATATTCTCAGTCATATTAGAAGAATGTTCCCACGGCATGAAACAGCCTGATCAACACTGACTTGGCTGGGATTAACGTGGGGTTGATGTGACCTCCAATGATTATGAGATCAATCACTGTCTAGGACTATGTCCCTTGCCCTGGAGGTTCAGCTTCTAGCACAACACTGTCAGATTATGGCTAGTTTCATCCTAGTTTGTCAGTCCCAGGCATGCCATTTGTAGTTTTAAATGTTTTTAGCAATATCCCCGTAATATCACGGCATGAAACACCAGAATACGTTACACATATTGTGCCAAGCTCTGGCTTAGTATTGTAGCTGCAGGGAATCTGCAGAAAGGACTTCATGGATCTTGTATCTGATCAGTAATGTCTGAGCTGTTAATAATCAATCTAAGATTTGGTTGGTTTGTTGTTAATGCCGCACTCTGCAATATTCCAGCTATATGGCGGCAGTATCACTCTAAAAGCTCCAATTTTATATACTGTAAAACATGAAATTAATGCGTCTCCAAAAGAATGCGACCGCTGGCCCCTAGCCAAAAATGGGACTCAATATGAATGCGACACCCCCTCCTCTCAAGCATCAGTGGATTTATATCTAAACAAAATGTCCTCTGTCAGGTTTACATGTGAATCCTCACCTTAATCCTACCTTACATTATTTCCAATCACACACCAAATAGCACCACTTATTAGCGCTGAGTAGAGTTCTTTCCTAAAACAATACATGCGTGCTGGCTAGTGTCGGCCTTTGAGGCAGTCGCAAAGAACAAAGACACTGTGTTGGGTGGGAGTCGTCTGTCTGGACTTGCAGGTGTGATCAGTGATGACATAAGTGAGTAAAACGCTTGTCTTGGCCCCAGCACTGACAATTCACAAGATGTAATAAGTGCTTGAATGACATTGTTTATATACTTGTTATCAGTGCTGCTCAATAAACAGTGATGTGGAATACATAGTTGTTTGGTTTTGGTGTATGTCTAAGTTGGTATTTCTGCTATCCAAAATGTCTTATTGTTGATATAAATGCGATGTTTATTAATGCGAGCAAAGACCACTCGCATTTTTCGCATTTAATTCACGCTCGCGTTCATTTCACGATTTACAGTATATATGAGTACAAGTAAATGTATAATGTTCCCACGGCATGAAACAGCCTGATCAACACTGACTTGGCTGGGATTAACGTGGGGTTGATGTGACCTCCAATGATTATGAGATCAATCACTGTCTAGGACTATGTCCCTTGCCCTGGAGGTTCAGCTTTGTGTGTGGAGCATCTATAATACTCTTGAGGAAAATAGCCATTGTTTGTTTGAGAATGAATTCAGTGCTTCACATGGCCACAGAGTTAAATCAAGTGTGTGTCATTGTATGTGTGCTAGAACAGACTTATGCCAATATAACAGCGCTAGCCCACTAAGATACTATGCCCAAGTTTCACATGAATACCTCACATGGACACAGTATACTGACTTCGAGGCCTCCAGTCTTTCTTATATCCCCTTTATGCCAACGCCAGACAGGGTAACAACAAGTAACACCTCTTAACGTCTATTGATATGACATATCCAGGGTTCTATCCCTGGACCTTCCGCTCTCCAGGTGGACACTCTACCACTAGTCCACAGAAGCAGTCTTTTTTTCAACTTTTTTTCAACTAGATAATGGAAATAGAAAGCATGAAAGAAACTAACCCGTTTTCAGTTGTTTTTTTCAGTATGGTGCTGTTGCCACTCTATTTAAATAGCGTAATGTGTGTGCTACTATGGTTTCAGAAGTAGTCATCATTTTTTGCCCCAAAGGAATACAAAATGCTGTCCAGCAGGGTTTCTTAAATTTCTTATTTAGACTTGGCCTCTACCATAAAGAAAACTTAGCATTAGGATGCTGTTACAGAATACAATTTCACTGTTGTCACAATCTGTATATGGGAGTGAGTGAGTGAGTGAGTGAGTGAGTGAGTGAGTGAGTGAGTTGAACAGTATTCCAGTCATATCACGGAGTGTCAACTTAATGTGCGTGGAAAGCCAGAAGGATGCAAGGATAATCAGTCTGAGAGCTCCAATTTTATATATATATATGAGTATAAGTAAATGGATAATGTTCCCACGGCATGAAACAGCCTGATCAACACTGACTTGGCTGGGATTAACGTGGGGTTGATGTGACCTCCAATGATTATGAGATCAATCACTGTCTAGGACTATGTCCCTTGCCCTGGAGGTTCAGCTTCATGTGTGGAGCATATCTAATACTCTTGACTAAAATACTAATGATGAAAATAGCCATTGTTAGTTTGAGAATGAATTCAGTGCTTCACACAACCACAGAGTCAAAACTAAGTGTGTGTCATGGTGTGTGTGCTAGTACGGACTTATGCCAATATTATAGCGCTAGCCCACTAAGATACCATGTCCAACTTTCACATGAATGCCTCACATGGACACAGTATACTGACTTCGAGGCCTCCAGTCTTTCGTATATCCCCTTTATGCCAACGCCATACAGGGTAACAACAAGTAACACCTCTTAACGTCTATTGATATGACACATCCGGGGTTCTATCCCTGGACCTTCCGCTCTCCAGGCAGACACTCTACCACTAGTCCACGGAAGCAGCCTTTTTTTCAACTTTTTTCCACTAGATAATGGAAATAGAAAGCATGAAAGAAACAAACCCGTTTTCAGTTGTTTTTTTAATGTGGTGCTGTTGCCACCTTAGTTTAACAGTGTAACATATGTGCTACTTGGTTTCAGAAGTAGTCATCATTTTTTGCCCCAAAGGAATACAAAATGCTGTCCAGCAGGGTGTCTTAAATTACTTATTTAGACTTGGCCTCTACCATAAAGTAAACTGTAGGATGCTGTTACAGACTACAATTTCACTGTTGTCACAATCTGTACACGGGAGTCAGTGAGTGAGTGAGTTGAACAGTATTCCAGTTATATCACAGTGTGTCAACTTAATGTGCGAGGAAAGCCAGAAGGATTCAAGTCTCGGACGTTTACCACTTTTGTGTTTCTGCAGGGCCCAAGGGATGCAATTCTGCACAGCGAATATTGGCGCCTTAGATAATTGGGCCACCTGTTCCCCCTTTTGGATGTATTGGCCCAGACACCAGCTATTATCCACCTGTAGATCGACAATGTCTCTATGGCATGGAACAGGCTGATCCCCATTGCCTTACTACTTCCTCTACACCTATCCACTGGCAGGCTTTTCACACGTCTTATTTTACATGTCACATTGAATGTTCCTACGGCTTGAAACAGTCTGAAAACTTGGCGTCCCTGGACACTTGGAAGAAGGAGATTTTACTGGTGTCATCAAGCATCTGCTCATTTGTATATCAGCGATGTTCCCACGGCATGAAACAGCCTTATCAACATTGACTTGGCTGGGATTAACGTGACCTCCAATGATTATGAGATCAATCACTGTCTAGGACTATGTCTCTTGCCCTGGAGGTTCAGCTTCTCATGAGTCAGATTTCTACACTTCTGTGGACTCAATCATCACATCCCTATCTTGGGTGCTGGTTTTTTTAGGATTTGGTTAAGTTCAGTAAAGCCTTGGGGATCAGGAATTCGGTCCTAAAAATATCTGTAACTATGCTGTGGACAAAAATCCGACCTGTCTTGGTCCAGAACTACACTGTAAATCATTACACACTTCCTTGTTGCCAGGCATTAGAGTGAACAAAGTCTCACCAGATATTCTCAGTCATATTAGAAGAATGTTCCCACGGCATGAAACAGCCTGATCAACACTGACTTGGCTGGGATTAACGTGGGGTTGATGTGACCTCCAATGATTATGAGATCAATCACTGTCTAGGACTATGTCCCTTGCCCTGGAGGTTCAGCTTCGTGTGTGGAGCATATCTAATACTCTTGACTAAAATACTAATGACGAAAATAGCCATTGTTAGCCAGTTTTAATAGAAAACTCAGAAGAACATTGTAACATTAGTGGATGTGGTCACCACCACGTTTACTGAAGAACTCAGCATGACTCAGCAAGACAGAGACAAGAAATGCCAAACTCACCTTAGATTGTCCTGTGTTCTTGTCTTTTGCCAAATAGATCCTTGAAATGGGCCCGAAGGGTCTGAATAGCTCCTGGAGATCCGACTCTCTGGTGTCCTCAGACAAGTTTGTCACACGGATAGTGGCAGCCTCATCTGCAACAATTTGTAGTGCAAAGAGTGAGTCGGGGACAGAGAGGAGAAGGGGGTCCATTTCATCAAACATGGGTACCGAGGACCTGTCTATCCCACTGGGTCCATTACAACAAACATGGGTACTGAGGACGTAATCTGTCCGCGAGAACACTGACCTTTCCTCTGTGTGGACATGGACTCTCCCCTCCCCTTGGATGCTCCTTCCCTCAGACTGGGGGGCACGTACTTCCCTGCAGTCTTGGCGATGGCACTGGGTCCTGCAGCAGCAGCAGCAGGATTGGCCCCAGCAGCAGCATCACCCGGCGGCTTCCCATCCTCAGCCAACTTCTCCTGCAGCGGCGCTAACGTGTCCTTGTATGGGCACCGGGTTGTCCAATGGTCGCCTTTACAAATACGACATTGAACGATCTTCTGTGTCTTCAGCTTATTGAGTGGGTCTTCCTCCTCTGGAGCCTGGTTCTGGAGAACGCAACAGTGAATGAGTGAGTGAGTTAAATGCAGCACTATTCCTGCTATATCACAGCGCTCCGTAAATCGAAGTCTCGGAAGGTCTGAAAGTTCTGTATACACTTGCCATGAGACCATTTGCAATTATTTCAACCCCTGATCATAACTGATATCTAAACAAGGAATTTCTGGAGTGAGGGAGTGTTGTTTAAGAGAGTGAATATGGTTTTATGTCCCTTTTAGCAACATTCCAGCAATAGCACAGCAGGGAACACCAGAAATGGGCTTCACACATTGTTCCCATGTGGGGAATCATACCCAGGTCTTCAGCATGGCAAGCAACTGCTTGAACCACTAGGCTACTCCACCGCCGTATTGTTTAAGGACACATTCAGCAATATTCCACCTATATCACGACAACCTGTAAACAATTGATGCTGCATCAAACAAACCAAAGTCAGCTTTAGCAATGATCCACAGTTGGGTCGCGATGACATGCAATCAGCCATGTCATAGTCTGACCACCCGATCCCCATTCAATACATTCTTACATTAATCAGAAAGTTCTTGGAATCCATTCTGATCCAGAATCCACAGGGAGCAGGGACAACAATCAAAATACATACTGTGATGTTGATCTGACACTGAGGTGTTGCTTCGTGTTTAATGATCTCTTTGATAGCAAATTTAATCAAGTTTTTTCACTCTTGATTTCTTGTTAGTTTGTTTCATGTAAACGTGGTTTGACTTACGTCCTTGTTCTGTACAAACTGCATGACAATTTCCTCGGATATGATGGTGTTTGACGAGTTTGGACCTGGAGGATCTCTCTCTGCAGCCCCGAACTTTCTCCATATCTGAAATGTGTCAATTCAGGCCATCAGCAAGTGAGTCCATGAATGTTGTATAAACCAATGCTAAACCTTCACCATCCTCTTTCTCAAAGCTCACAAAATCTTAACATACCATGAACTTCCAGTCTAAATACATCGCCTCAAGATATTTACCTTAATCAAGACTACTTATCGATGTCTAATGCAACAAGTCCCAGATGGTGACGTCAAATGGGGTTTCAAGACTATTGCACATTGTGTATGTGAGACTTCTTGAACTAGTCCAGACTAATGCCGGTTTTATCGAGTTAGCCCACTGAAATACTATGCCTGAGTTGAACATGAAAAACCCATTCAAACACAGTATACTGAATCCGAGCCAACCAGTCCTTGCTTTAGCCCCTTAATGGCAAGCGCCAGGCTTGGTAACAACAAGTACCATATTTTAACATCTTTTGGTATGGAGCGGCCGGGGATAAAATCTCGGACCTTCTGCTCTCAGGGGGAAGCTCTTCCACTAGACCACGGAGGGTAATAAAGACAAGGGCACCTAAACTGAACACAACACACCTGAAAAATAGGTCAGTGCTCTTGGGTACACCTGATTTATTTCTAATTTCAAGCCCTGGAGTGTAATGTCATCCGACAGCAATTTGAGTGATGTAAGGGAGGTTACTCTAACGCTTTAGCTAATCAGGAAATTGACTTTAACCAAGATGCCACGCATCTGGGATTGCTGGAATGATGGTGAGTTTTTTAGTGTTATGAATAAATGGGATTGTGTGTATCAGTTGTCGTGGTGAGGACAGTTATTCGACTAGGATTTGTACTTGTCTGTGTCGGTTGTATGTTGAGTTTAAGGGATAAACAACATTGAACTACAGCCTGCCTTCTGGTCATTTTATTCAGGCTTGAAACAAAAATATTGCTGCGAATGAGTTCAGGTTATTCATAATCACAAAATATAAAAATAATTCACTGGATACTCGAGGATGAATAGGGCTATGACAAGAAGCCATTGGCTTCTACTGTTAAGCATCTTACCTTCCTCCGTGCAATGGACTTTGACACCTTCCTTGTCTCAACACTGTAGGTCTTCACTACCTGCAAGAAACAACAGGTCATATATTACTCAAGAAATGTTAAGGACCATCAAATTCTTTCATGACAGATTAAATATAGTAATACGAAAAAACTGTTCAGTCCTTAATTCTTATTTTCTAGTATACACCAATGTACACAATCAGAGAGTTGGTTTACAGGGACAGGCACAGCCTCCAGTCCATTTGTCTGAAGAGGCCAGTTTTCTCCAAACTTCCAGTTAATTTACAAAACTCGCTAATCCAAAAGGAGCTGCAGACTGGCTGGATTTGAGTTATAGTGTCTACCCCTTGTTTGTAGTTCTTGACTTTTATCACTGTGTGACAGCTTGAAGTGGGAGGTAAGCCAGAGGTGAAGTTGGTTGGTTTGTTGTTTAACGCCGCACTCAGCAATATTCCAGCTATATGACGGCCTGTAAATAATCAAGTCTGGACCAGACAATCCAGTGATTGATGACATGCATCAACCAAGTCAGCGAGCCTGACCACCCGATCCCGTTAGTCGCCTTTTACGACAAGCACAGTTGCCTTTCCAGAGGTGAAGGTTTCAGGCATTTACCAACTCTGCACAGTGAACTGTGACGTCATATTCTGGGCCACCAGAGCCCCAGAACATGATAAATTGAGACTTCATTCTAGGCCATGCCCTTGCGCTGACACAAAAAAAGTAAGGTGATGCACTATGAAATACGAGTGGTCCATCTTGGTACATGCTTCTTTTGCTACAAGACATACAATGTGAACCCAATTGTTTACATATTACTTTAAAAAAAAATACTTAAAGTCCCAAACTTGTCTCAAAAACAGAGAAGAGTTATTAATTTGATATTCTGTACATCACTTTGAACTGTTAACACCCTCAATCCCAGAGATGCTTCAACACGGTTACACACACCATCCAATTTTACCTTTAAAACATGCACATGTCCAGTTGACAAAACAGTCTACTTAAAACATCAGAGAGTTTCATTCAACATGTTCAATAGCTGCCCTTACCTTAACAAGTTTCCCATCATCATTGTACTTGTAGTCTGTTATTTTCTTCAGGCCATTCTTCTCATCATAGTCCTCGTGTGACGGAGGCAGACCTCCAGCTGTTGCAAGTGGGAAATGGTGAAAGTTTGTTAGTTGACTTTACCTATGTACTTACTTAACATGCTTAAGTATGGTCAAATCAACAAACATATAAGCGAGAGTGAGTGAGTTTGCTTCATCATTGTTCATCAAAAAAGTATTATACAATGTTCAGTTTTATCATGGCATATAATAATTGAAACAGATTTAAAACATTTTTGAAACAATAAGTAGCCCCATAATAGAATACTGTATTACTTCAAGCCCCTTGTATTTAAGGTAGACGCTTCAAAGCCCACTAAAAACATCAAAGTGTCTGCCACTCGCCACTGAACATACTGAAGCTATGTTGCGAATTAAGCTACATGAGGAAGGATGTTCTGTAAGTGATGAAAACATACCGCAAAACTTATTTTTTCACTAATGCATATTTTAATTAAACTTGATCTTATAATTTTGCATCAGAACAATTGTATGTACCGATTACGTATCGGCTGAATTTTGTAAACTTGTCTGTAATTTTATATGACTGACCATGAGCATCTATTTTTAACTTGACTGTAATCATGGTAATGGAGGGGTCAAATATCATGTGAGGATAACAAGATGGTGCATGATAGACTCGTCTCACTTGGCACTATCGCTATAAAAATAATAATACATGGTCATTTGACCATCCAAGTGTTAACAGAAATACATGTTGTCAAAGGTAAGACTAAATTTTAGTGCACTGGGATTGTTATTAGACACATTATGAGAATTATTTTTTTTTTATTATCAACATTTGATAGTTAAGTTAAAATAAATTTGTGATGGCTTTACTAAGTTTTGTCATGGGTGACATCACAACAAAGAGCCTAATTATTGCCATGTCTGTGAGGGGTTACAGCTAAAATTGCATCTCAGCAAAACATTACCTCGCCTAAAGCCAAAACGGCTACTATTGCCTGGTGAATAAAACGGCACCTTATTTTTTTTAACTTGGTACTGAAATACATGAATTATAACTCACAAACTTGCGGACACAAATAATTGTGAAATGTTAATCGCCTTTAGACATGTTAGAAATTAGCCTCTATTCTAATTGATCGGGAGGCGACATTTAATATTTATATTAGTAAGTAGGAAATAAATATTAATTTTATAGATATTTAATATATATATATATAATATATATATATATCCCTTACAGCCGGCATCACAAGAATATTTCTGCAGATAACAGACTGTGTCCACGCCCAAGGAAAACATATATACTACAACATAACATAATAAAGCATGTAAATAAAGCATTAATACTACTCCATTAATTGTACTTATCATTATTAAAAATAGAGGTACCGTTTTTGCCCGACAATTAGTTGCCATTTTCGTCAAATGAGGTGCCATTTTTGCCTGCACCCTTTGTGAGACTAATTTTTAATCTCACTTTATCTCAATAAAAGCTTGAAATGTAAGTTATTTATTAACTTATGATGTTTGTGATATAACATTTAGTTATTCAATATATTGCAGTCCTGTATCAGTACATTGTATCAGCATCAAGAACTGATTCAGGCCTAGTATCTCCTAACTGAAAAGTTTTGCTCAATGAAAAAGCAAAGACTACACACTACCATTAAGTTGCATTAACCAAGGCTGTTAGCTAGAACTGGTAGGACCGTTTTACCATTTATGTATTAACTTGGTGTGTTGGGAATGTCTAAGTTATGGGTACGCCTCTTTGTCATCTAATGCAGCTAGGGAAAACAAAAATATCTTGCTCGAATGCCAGTTTTTGCTGCGCCCGGACAACCATATGGCATTAGCGAATAACTTACTGTCATCGCCGGCTTCTACCTGCTCAGCCCAGCTGTAAGGTTTGCTGAAAAATATGTGAAACAAGACATAAACATATCAATAAGTGAAAATATCGTGACAAAACGTTTCAAATAAAAACACTATATCACAATAAATTTTGTAATAACTCACCTGTCTTCTAAAGACGGCATGGCGACATCCGGAAGTGCGCGCAAGAGAGATTATACAAAAGTTGTGGTATGTGACCAAAACGACATTAGATCTAAAATATAAATAATAGATAGTCATTCAAACAGTTTTAATCATGGCATTTTTTAGAAATATTATTTACATTTATTTACAAACTCTTAAAACATAAAGAACTTAAAGGGTTTCCGCAAATGTCGATGGGATATCTTTCGTTCCGCAGTTATTTTCGGTTTTCGATAAACTAAAATGTCAAAATTTAGACTCACAGTCGATAAAGTGTAGGCTCTTAGTATATCAGTTTTTTTCAGTAGCTTCTGAAAGCAATCACCGTCCCAACAACTATTTTATTTCCTAAAAGCCTCTTTATTTCCATAGTACCAGGACAATGCAAATCAGAGTTTAGAAGAACTCCCTAATTGTGTGTGTTTCAAGCTCCGGTAGTATCACCTTATACCAATGGCGACTTCCATGCAACAATTTACGCTTGAGGATTGTAAAGGTTGAATATTTTGTCATTATATGTGTATTTTTCGCTTTGTTTTTTGCACGTGTGAATGCATATTTCAAAGCTTGATCAGTTGTACTGAAATGTTGTTTGGGTGTCCTTTGAATGTCAATAATTTGAGTGTGAACCGGTAAGATTTGCTGCATAATCTCATGATTCGTTTGTTGTCAGTTGGAGACGCTATGTGTCCAGTGTGATTGGCATTATCACGAAGGGAAATTTGACGTCTATTTTCCATATTCTCATTACATCACAAATCTGATTAGATGGATCTGTACTTATGAAGTACAACGCTGCTCAATCTGTAAAAAATGTAACCCACTTTGTTAAAACTATCATTATCATGGTATTTTGTGCAGAGGCCGAGAGCATGCACACAGATAGAGTACACAGCTTCAGTAATTCTATGTTTTCTTTCAAGCCCCCACTTGATAACGAGTTAGTGGTGACTTTCAAGAGATAAGGAAGCTCATCTAACTGTCACCCACAGTATGCGATTGCAGAGACCATATATCGGTATATGGTCTCTGGCGATTGTCATGTGTTTGTGTTCAATGGATGGTGTAAAACAAACTATCAATCCCAGAAACTATATATATATACAAGGCTGTTTTACATAGCATTTTCAAAATGTTCCATTTTCATTTGTCAGCATCAAGTAACAAACAAGGTGAAGTTTTTGTAGATCTCTCTGTATATGAAATCTTTACTATCATGGCTTTGTGAGTTGTTGTTCATCTGCCAGCAAATGTACATTGAAAACATAGACGAAATGAAATCAATACACATAAGTCGTTCAACGTTCATAAGTCTACCCTGTCTCAGTAGCAACTTCTATTGGTGATAAGAGCTATTTCATGTGCAAGCTTATGAAATTGGCACAGCCTATTTACAGCTTTATGATAAAGCTCTTCACAGCTAAACCTTACTCTCTGGGCTCTTCATAGATTAGGGTTATGAAAGTCACACGCAATGGGTTTCAAATGCTTTCTATGCACTGCTCATTTGTGATGTCTGTTGGCAAGTTTTGTTATATGTGCGACCCGTGAAGATCCAGGGTAGAATAGCTCTTCAACAACCCATGCTTGCCATGCAACCCATAGTAAAAGGCGACTATGCTTGTCGTAAGATGCGACTAACAGGATCGGGTGGTCAGGCTCGCTGACTTGGTTGATGCATGTTATCAATCCCAATCGATGCTCATGATATTAATCACTGGATTGTCTGGTTCAGACTCAATTATTTACAGAACGCCGTCATATAGCTGGAATATTGCTGAGTGTGGCGTTAAACAACCAAACAACAATGTTATATGTGCATACTATGGGATAAGAAATTTGTATTGGAAATCATCACCCAGAAACATCTTGTAGTGATTATTCTTGGATCATAATTGAAATTACAACATGTGCAAAGCTTTGCTAAAAGTAAACACTGATCAGGCAATTAGCTCCTATATATGTCATATATTAAAAACAAAACAGATTTTCACAAATTATGCGAAGTATTATGTATTTGTTTGGGTTACATTGTTGTTATTTTTAAATTATGACATTTAATGGATGGTATACATCATGTAATGGACAGATGACACTTGACTATAAGTAGTATTGAATTATTGATTTATGTGTTTTCCTGTTCTATTTATGTATTTGCTTTCTGCCTTACAATGCATTTTCAAAAATCTTTGCTGTTCTTTGTCCTCACCATGTTTACAACTAATGGCTCCCATTAATTCATGGCCATGTTTACTTCAGAATATGTCTGTCTTCATTTCTTGTGCATCATTATTCTTGTCATGAGTCATGGGACTAGTAGGATTGTCATGACTGATCAAAACATTGACACAAATAAGGCACTAGACCTGACAGAAATACATGAATGACATGCAGACCGTGCTGTACCTGAAATACTGTTCAACCCAAGTCCGACCCGTGAAGATTCCGGGGTAGAATAGGTCTTCAGCAACCTATGCTTGTCGTAAAAGGCGACTAACGGGATTGGGTGGTTAGGCTCTCTGACTTGGTTGATGCATGTCATCGATCCCAATTGCGTGGATCGATGCTCATGATATTAATCACTGGATTGTCTGGTCCAGACTCGATTATTTACAGACCGCCGTCATATAGCTGCAATATTGCTGAGTGCGGCGTTAAACAACAAACCAACCAACCAACTAAACCCAAGTCCTGTATTCTGCAGGGGCCAAGTCGCCGAAGGCACGCATTTTGCCATGCGGAGGTGTGTCCCTTGAGCATACCGATTATGTTTCTAGGTTTCTCAGCACCATACCCGTGCTCATGGGTTTCACCAACGTGGTAAACATCTGAGACCTGCATCACTGAGCGCTCACCTCCAACATTAAGCTCACACACCATGAAATTACAGGAATATATTCAAAGCTGAGTTAAACCTAACTCACTCACTCCTGTATTCTACCTCAAATAATTGTATGGAGTGATAGGCCCTGCTGAGTGGGGATCATCTTCCTGAGGCAAGAGAGTTAACTGACTATAAAAGTCCAGTTTCCACCCTTTTTGTGGGAGATTTTGGTCGAATGAAGGATTTGCAAAGCATGTGGACTGCCCGACAGATATTTTGCAAATCTTTTCATGTTTTTGATCAAGGTGCTCAAGAGATTTGATGCACTTTGCAAGGTTAGACCCCTTTTATTACAATATAGATCTTGATTATCGATCAGATCGTCTTTTCTGGGCGCTGCTATATTTATTGAAGCAATTGCATGTGATATCTGAGGTGATGTGGAATCTGATTGGTCAATAGAAGGGGCAATAGAAAAGCCACTGGTGGCGCTTCAATCAAGCCTGGAAATTCCAGCCTAGTTCAGCAAGGGTGGTAACTGAATTTTTATAGTCAGTCAATGCCCTTGCCTTGGGAAGATGAGTGTGGATCCTACAATACACTCTTCTGACATTGAGATGGACATTATTTGTATTCAAAGTTGTGTCCCTTAGACTGTGCAGGAATGGCTGGTCATAGATTCAAGGTCAAGATTTGTCCCTCACTATCACACTGACACATTGTGATTTTAACTGAAATACTGTGAAACTGATTCACAGAACATACTTTACCTCAAACAGATCCTGGACAGCCTCTGTGGTCATACCAAAAGATGTTAACATAAAAACTTGTTGTTACCCTGCCTGGCGATTGGCATAATGGCTAAAACAAGGACTGGTGGGCTCAGAGTCAGTACACTGTGTCTGAGTGGGGTCTTCATATTAAAGTGTGGCATGTATCTCAGGGGGCTAACACACACACACACACACACACACACACACACACACACACACACACACACACATGCATGCATGCAGGTTGCTATACGAATGCAATAATCTTGGACACAACGTTAAACCCCATTTCATCTCACCTTGCTTCTAACAGATCATTCTTATCGTAGAGGGGGCACGGGTTGCCCAGTCGTCTAAGGCGTCGCGATTCACTGTGCAGAGTTGTGTCCCTTGGGCACGCCAGAAACCTATGATTGTGGGTTCTAATCCCAGTTCGCCCCGATTATGTTTCAAGGTTTGTCAGCACCATACCCATGCTCATGGGTTTCACCGAAGTGGTAAATGCCTGAGACCTGCATCACTTCGGGCTTTCCTCCCACATTAAGCTGGCACACCGTGATATAACTGGAATAATGTTAAAAACAGCGTTAAACCCACTAACTCATTCTTATCGTAGACACTGGTGTTATTTCCAGCCTGCCTGAGTGACCTGCTGGAGGCCTTTAAACAACCTGACAATGCGGAACGACTGGAGGAGGCTCGGGACAACGCAGGCAATGATATGCTGAAGACGATGCAGATGTTCTTCCCGGTGGCCACACAGATCGAGGTTGCTGTTATTGAGAAATATGGTTTCCGTGGAGACGGAGATGGTAGGCAAATATTTGGTTAAAGGAACTTCAGATGAGCTGCATAAATTACACAAAATAAATCACTGTTACACTTTTTATTTTGAGTTCCGTGTGTACAAATATGCATAAAAAATGACAAAAACCCAATTGTATAACAACACTGTCAGTAATTACCCGATGTATCTTTTTCAGCTTGTTTTCCTATATTTCTTAATGGATCTTTATTTACTAATTGAATGCAGGCATCACAAATACATAACTCTAGTGTACTGCTATGAATTAGGTGATAAACATACTGTTTTCAATGTAGAGGTAGGTTACCTGTAGATTTAATCACTCACAGCGTGAGGTTTCAAATGTTAAATTTAGCATGTTAACTCTCGAGGTAACGTCGCTCTAAATTTAAAACACAGTATGTTTATTTCCATTCTACCATGACTAAATAAAACGCAAACTATGTGGTTTTAGAAAATATATTGAGAGAAGCAGCATGGGGTTGAGGCCATTGTTTTGAGAGGGTTGTCGATCAGTATTTAAGGAATCAATACGCTACAGCCTTCAAACAAAATATGGCGATCTCAAGCAATTTGTTAACACCATAATACTTCACACAGACGTATGACAGGCACTGAAAGCATGTAGCACAGCAATGTCGTAAGCTAACATGAGGTGGGCACCCCCATAAAAAACCTAATGCATTAGGTTAAGGGAAGTAACTCGATTCATTTTCGGTTCAAAATCACTGAATCAAAGCTTTTTACTTGGTGAAACTTCGGACAGATGTTCCGGGTCTGTGTGAATGAATGTCAGTGGGATCAATTCGTTTAAACCCATCTCTCAGGGCATATTGTGTGATGTACCCCAAACCGTCATATGCTCACACTCAGCGTACATCCAGCATATACCCCTCGGGATCGATTGATAACTTATGATATATTCCCCACAATAACCAATATGTTCCCCATGGTAACCTCTCACTCACATTTGAATGTTACTGTTTTCAGGTATTGTACGTTTCACTCAGGCTGTCAAACACTACGAGCAGCAAGACCCCGAAGTGGCTCAGTTAAACCAACAACTACGAACCACTCTGATGCCCCCAGTACAGGCCCCGACCCCCACTCAGACAATGGCAGAGAACGGTGCCAGATAACCCAGCAGTCGTACCTAGAGATGTCGGCGGCAGAGAGCTGTTGGCACATTGTCTCAGTACTCTGGTACTATCCAATATGCATGCTTTAAGGCAGACCAGGGTGTGATAAACGGCATCCATGTTGTCATGTCCACCATGTTTTTTGGTATATTTTCTCTCTCTGTAGTGGACTAGGTTCCTAAAGGACACTGCAACTTGCTCTTAGTGTTTCCCCCAAGCATTCGACATGGTCCGCGTCACATCATTAGTCTGCTAAAACAGGAACAGTGTAGGTCCAGTGATGTTAGTTTGGCGTACTATTTATTCAGTTGCTGGGCATGTGATAGGTGTAGAGGACTTTGGGTTTAATGGGTTGGATGAAGATAAAAGAAACTGTTATTTAGTCTTCACATAAGATGTTTAGAGTTGGCATTATTTTAAAGGGATTTGCTGTGGAACCTTTGTATGGCTGGGGGAAATACTAGATATACCAGCCTAAGCATTTATACAACTATCAAGTTGTTTTCATATCAGTAAACTGGTTTTAGTGTGTCTTTGACAAGATTTTAGTTTCTTCCTTTTAGTGTGCCATTATTTTTTGTTACCATGGTAACTTTCATGTAACAATGGTTATAGCTGCATATGTCTTTAAGGGCATCTTTCAAAGTTTGCTGTACCAGTAGAAACTAAGTTTGAAAGATTTCCATGACATTTTCCCACAAGCATCTATAACGGTCTCAGCGTACCTGCTTTGAATGTGAACTGTATGAGAGCTTGAAAGGGTAGATTAAAAACAGTGAAACACAATGGCGATGTGTTGTGATCTTCATGCTTAGATCATCATGGTCGTAGAGCAACACAGTAATTGATGTACTGTATTCGTAATCATTTAATACCTCATCATGTTGTCTGTTTAATGACAAGCTAGATGTAAAGTAGACACGCTGTTAACTGGTCTTAGATATATATAGTAATGCTTCCTGCTGCAGAGTATGTCCTCTGTTGGACAAACCAGTTTGAATATTCTAATACTGACTGACTTTGTGTAAGAACTGAAACTAGAGGTGAACTTCCGATTGCTGAATGGTTGCTATGGTAACTGAATATTCTAATACTTGGTTGAGTGACATTGTACGAAGCTAATCAGTTTTGGATTTGAATTACATCTGAAATAGTCCAATGTGTAAGAACTGAAGCTGTAAGTGAAATTCTGGTTGCTGAATGGTTGCTATGGTAACTGAATATTCTAACACTTGGTTGAGTGACATTGTACGAAGCTAATCAGTTTTGGATTTGAATTACATCTGAAATAGTCCAATGTGTAAGAACTGAAGCTGTAAGTGAACTTCTGGCTGCTGAATGGTTGCTATGGTAACTGAATATTCTAATGCTTGGTTGAGTGACATTGTACGAAGCTAATCAGTTTGGGATTTGAATTACATCTGAAATAGTCCAATGTGTAAGAACTGAAGCTGTAAGTGAACTTCTGGTTGCTGAATGGTTGCTATGGTAACTGTAATCATGATATATGTTACTATGGCTACGCCCAGCTAATGTCATAGGTGCTCTTTTGATGGGTCTGCAGTTCTCATGTATTTGACCATATTTACACTATTGGTGCGTTTTGTAAACATATATTGTTTTGTCACTAAGATTCAATGTTTTACATGCATCAATTATTTTCCTGCAAATATTTCTGTCAGTAGGGACTTTTCACCCTTTTGTACTTTTGATAAATTATGGATATGCAAGAAGATTCGTAGTTGGATCATTGGCGTATGAGCCAGATCATTGGGAGACGATTACCAGTATGTTCAAATTGTCATTGTGAAAGGTGTGACATATTTTTCTTATGTACAAAGTTTGATACTGTCCTGCTTATGCTAATATCAATACTTTCATTACTAAACACCTGGGCCCCGTTCCACAAAGTGATCTTAGGGCTATGACTACCGTAAGCCTATGTTAAAGTATAGGAGTTACGATTATCTTAGCGCTAAGATTGCTTTGTGGAACAGGGTCCAGATTTGTTATCTTGAATACATTAAGGAGTGAAATGTGAGCCATGTGTGTGTTCACCACATTGTGTTACATCTTGAGTATCATCAGCTGTGGTTTACAGATTTTATCACATATCTATTGCAATATCACTATTATTCATTGGATATAAAACATTTTTTTAATTTTCAGGGCTTTTCAAGGGAAGATTTAATATGATTTTATTCAATTTTATTGACTTTGTAACATGACACATCATTAAATAATACAGGTTTGGAGTTTGTATAAATGAGTCCTTTATCATGTCGAAGTATTGTAAATGGCATGTCAACTTGATTACCCTTACAAAAAATAACATTTAAGGGCCATTTGTAATTTATTCTTTCTCAAGTTACTTGTTTGAGTTCAGAATCTGAATCTGAATAGGGATCTGTTTGAGTTCTTTTCAGAATCTAACTATTTAATCAACAATGTTTGCCCCATTGCTTGTGCTGCAGTGGGATGGTTCAGTCTCCTGTATTCCATCTAATAAATGTAGCAGTATTCATCTTCCTCTTCTCTGTCCCTGGTCTTCATAAGCTGTGCTTTTATCTGGACATACCTTGAACTTCTGGGTAAAACCAAACGAAACAACAGTTAAAATTGAACAGATCTGTCCAAACCATTGATCATGTTCGAAAAGCATGCTCAGCAATTTCAGGATACCAACTATGCGAGTCTTAACGTGACTTAGAGGTCGGGTGGTCAGATTCAGTGACTTCATTGATTGTCATCGTAACCCAATGGCATGGATCTTTGCTCATGATGCTAAACTGATGCTCACAATGTCAATCACTGGATTGTCTGATTCAGGATATGTTATTTACAGACCACCGTCATATAGCTGGAATATTGCTGAGTGCGACGTTAAAGAGCAAATAAGTAAATACAAGGTTAGAAATTAACCTACAAAGTCTACTTGCCTGAATAGGAAACCCCCTAAAATGTTCAAAGCCCTCAGATACCCTGAGCGTTGGTGAAACTGGCTTGGCTAGCAGGCTGGAGATAACTTCTATGCCTGTATCACTCTGTAGGGCACTTGTGTATCATAAAGCCTTTGTTTGGTTTCTTTGTCTATGAATTCATCTCCGACAAATTTAATAAAATTATGATTTTAAGGACAGTTGGGTTTTTTCTACTTGCCAATTCCAATAATCTATTGCAGTGATACAATTGATGAGATTTGATTGCTATGCCAGCTAAACCACCCAACCATAGAGAAAAGCATGCTTCAATTTACCTGTTCTATTCTTGACATCACAACCTGGCTGACAATGCTAACTGAAGACGGTTTATTTCAAATTTGTTATTAGCACTTTCATTGTTTTCTGGAGACTCTGATTATAAGGTGTGTGTTTGCTAAGAACACAGTGGTTTGAACTATGCAAGCAGTGTGTATGACACACTTGGCACAGCTAGACTTCACTCTGAAAATGTCCAAACTATATTCTCGCATATATCTCAACATTTAACTGGCCGGAATTTATAAGCCAGTATGTAGACACATTTAATCAGACTTTATATCTTTGACGGGAAGTACAATGACATCAGTGACTTGGAAAAGTTCAGTTTGACACAACAGTTTACTTACACAAAACATAACTCACAACAATATTGCAATATTGATGGATGTTTTCTGCTGAAATAATACTTCGACAAATAAGTTGTGCATTCATCACATTGCTGGTCGGTTGAGTGGCTCGTTGAAGGACTGATATTCTCGGGTGTTTGGGGCGGGGAGCTCGGGATTTTATTGAGAGAAAAAATTGTCCCTGAAAATTCAAAAAGAACCTGTATATGCTTCTGACTGTTGAACAAACAAGAAATTGCCTGCCACAAAAATGGCATTGTTCCAAGGTGTTTTTCCTAACAAAAAAATTCAGGCTCATAGCTTTAATAAAAAAATATTGGGTTTTATTGCTGTAGCGGGGGCACGGGTGGCCCAGTCATCTGAAGTGCCACGATTCGCTGTGCAGAGTTGCATCCCTTAGGCACGCCAGAAACCTATGATTGTGGGTGCGAATCCCAGTTCGCCCCGATTATGTTTCTAGGTTTGTCAGCACCATACCCATGCTCGAGGGTTTCACCGAAGTGGTAAACGTCTTCGACCTGCATCACTTCAGGCTTTCCTCCCACATTAAGCTGACACGCCGCCATATAGCTGGAATACTGTTAAGAGCGGCGTTAAACCCAACTCACTCACTCATTATAGCTGTAGCTGAAAAAATATCTAATCTACTTACAAAGTCCCAGTGCCACCCAAACAATAGCAAATGGTTGGTCCCTTAGAGCATTGGCTTGTCATGCTGAATGCCGGGAATGATTCCCATCATGGGTACATTGCTTGTAGCCCTCTTACTGACCCAATTGTGCTATGCCTGGAATATTGCTGAATGTGGCAGACAACCCACTACATTGCTGAATTTTCCTGGCTATTTTCACACAAAAATCTAGGATGAACAAATGCTCCTGAGTATGTTTTTTCTATTGTTTCGTTCCAGTCTTGATTATTTACATAACACCGTCATATAGCTGGAATATTGCTGAGTGCGGCATTTAACAATAAACAAACAAATACCATGAGTATATATACAGCTGCCCCCATTGGGTGTTCCAGGTCATGATGGGGTCACGGGTGGCCCAGTCGTCTAAGGTGCCGCAATTCGCTGTGCAGAGTTCTGTCCCTTGGACACGCCAGAAACCTATGATTGTGGGTTCGAATCCCGGTTCCCCCCGATTATGTTTCTAGGTTGTCAGCACCATACCCGTGCTCGTGGGTGTCACTGAAGTGGTAAACGTCTCAGACCTGCATCATTTCGGGCTTTCTCTCACATTAAGCTGGCACACCGTGATATAACTGGAATACTGTTTAAAGCGGCGTTAAACCCAACTCACTCACTCACTCACTCACTCCAGGTCATGATAGGTCCACAACAACTTGTGCAGGCTGATTGATTGCAGATGCAACTAAATAGTATCTTTTGTAACCTTGATTCATCATGATATCACCTAGTGACTACCTCTTGTCAAAATTTTGTGATTTTATATATACTTACGCTCTCTGAAAAGGTATAGTGGAAATTCGGAAATAATTTTCAGCGAACTGCCTGAAAAAAAGATAAAGGTGTGTGGTAGTTTAACCTGAAGGCATGCAACATTGCAATAGTGTCTTCATTTGAACCTGGGGCGATCGGGTAGCCTAGTGGTTAAAGCGCCAAAGACCCGGGTTCGATTCCCGACATGGGTACAATATGTGAGCCCATTTCTGGTGTCTCCCCCGAGATATTGCTGGAATATTGCTAAAAGCAGTCTGAAACCATACTCACTCACTCTCACTCACTCACTCATTCACTGTCTCACTCACTCACTCACCCCCGGGATATTGCTGAAATATTGCTAAAAGCAGTCTGAAACCATACTCACTCACTCACTCACTCACTCACTCACTCACTCACTCACTCACTCACTCTCACTCACTCACTCACTCACTCACTCACTCACTCACTCACTCACTCACTTACACTTCCAGTAACATGTGAAGAGTCGCCATCCGCTACGCATTTTCAAAGTGTTTCGACATTTTTGGACTTTTGTTTCAAAACACAGCAATGATTTGATATCTGAACCGGAAATAATGTCACTTGTACGAATTGAAGCAGGAATTTGAAGCCTGATGTACAATTGTTTTTCATTTTGAATTGGGTCCTTGTGAAAATTTGTTGGCTTAAAATTATTTTCCCCACCAGGAATAACGTTGAGGTTCATGGTGTCATTGTATTTCCTGCTATGATGGATTGTAAGAGAAGGAGAGATGTTGAGCAAGCCTAGAGGTCCATAACTGTCGTGTCGAAGGCTTGTTTCACATTCTGTCGGGCATTACACTGAAACAGGCATGGCGGGCTTATCAATGTCTTCTTTATATGCTGCCCAGCATTATTTCCTCCCTTGTTGTCCTTGTGTATAATAGTGTACAATAGTCCAAAAGTAGTGCTGTATTTAACTTATTTAGTTCCCTTGGTATTCACAAAATGTTGTATTGGGTTGTTTGAAGGGCAGGATTTCCTCCAGAGGGCGAAACAACACAAACATTACAGTCACACCAAGGGACATGGGTGGAATCCCAAACATCTAAGGCGCCGCAATTCGTTATGCAGAGTAGCATCTCCTCGACACCAGAAACCTTTAATCTGGGGTTGAATCCCAGATTTCCCTGGTTTCTAGGTTTGTCAGCACCATACCCGTGCTTGTAGGTTTCGCCAAAGTGGTAAACGTCTGAGACCTGCATCACTTTGGACTTCTTCCTATGGGGACACAGCTGAAATACTATTGAAAGCAATCCAACTGACCTCCTTACCACATTGTTATGAACTGTCTGATCTCTATGAGAACTCGGGGGCACGGGTGGCCCAGCCGTCTAAGGCGCCGCAATTCACTGTGCAGAGTTGCGTCCCTTGGGCACGCCAGAAACCTATGATTGTGGGTTCGAATCCCGGTTCACCCCGATTATGTTTCTAGGTTTGTCAGCACCATACCCATGCTCGTGGGTTTCACCGAAGTGGTAAACGTCTAAGACCTGCATCACTTCGGGCTTTCCTCCCACATTAAGCTGACACGCCATGATATGACTGGAATACTGTTAAAAGCGGCGTTAACCCCAACTCACTCACTCACTCACTCTATGAGAACTCTCTTGGAAGACAATAAAGTTAAGGGTGCTTAATATGTTAAATACAGTGTTAAAAACACAATAATGAATGTCAAGATGGAGTGTTTAATCTGTTCCTACGAAGTGATAGCTACATTATCTATAATGTACTTGTTTATGTCTTGTTATCTGCCCACAGGAGAGAGATGACAACAATAATGGGTTTGCACAAATTTCCACCTTCAGTTCTCAGGCCATATCCAGTATGTGGTCGACAGAACTGTTATATCTGTGTTGTATGTTTTTTTCCAAAGATATGAGATGACATTGAAGTATGATGGACAATTAATTAAATTTATGTTATTGGGAAGTTTAGTCATATGAAGGTACCACAATTTAAATTGAATCACTCCTGGCCATTTTGAAGCTGAGTCAAGGGAAGTAACTCTGGCAAGTGTTTCTCATTTTACTACCGTTTTCCAATAAAGCCTAGCTTGCCATTTTAGGGTATATTTGCTAATATTACGTAGCCATAAGAAATATGAATATTTATGGTTGGATTCAATTAGCAATGCACTTTTCTCTGTGAAGTTGTTTGCAATGTCTTGTTTACAGATCATGAATTATGATAATTATTGCAGAAAATTCTTGTCATGGTTCAGTAAAGGAATTGCCGCAACGACTTACACAAGATATCATTAATCATAACGTAGTTAGAAGAAAACCTGTCAAACTTGAGATAAAATATTGCAACTGAAATTATTTTTCTTGAATTTTAATGATTGTTCCATTTTTCATTTGTTCTATCAGCATTATTTAATGTGAAATTGTGGTCTTCTCCCTCAGTGTATAAACTAGATATTGTTTACCAGAGAGTGGTTTATTTCACCGTTTACCTTGGTCGCCCATATCTTCTTTCACAGGTTTGTATGTTTTCGGTATGTGTATTTCGATGTGAATGTTTTGGAATTTAAGATACAACATATTGATCAAAGTTCAGATTATTCCTGTTGTTTTCTTGTGATGTTTTTTAAACCAATGGAAACAGCTTGTATTAAGTGGATAGATTTATTCTCTGTGCACAAGATGTGCACTGGCCAGATGTTGTGTCCAGTATGTTGTGGCCCCACAATTCATGTCTGTAGGTTAAAGAAAACAAAAAAAAACATCCAATTTCAAATATATATATATTTTTTTTCCTCCAAATGTTATGTGGGTAGGGCGAAAACAGTAGGGGCATATGAAATAAGGATTTGTCATAATTCGTTGTTTTGAAGATTTTAAGAAAATTTTCAATGTGTTTATTATAGTATTTGAGATAATTTATTTATATTGATAGCGACAGTAAATAAGATAACTCTGCTTTTGAAAAAAATCAGATTTTAATATTTTGGAGTCGACAAATTCGTCAACTAAGTTTTTAAAAAAGGGCTAGACTTATTCTTGTACAAACAGTTCCTTTTCTGTAACAAATGTTT